CCAAATTCACGCCGTGTCTCAGCATCTGCATGAGCAGCCTGTGTCCTCTGGGCCAGAGGTCAGGCTGGAGTGCTGACTCTCACGGGGAAGGGGCGTCCAACCAGGCAGCGGGGAGTTTGAGGTGTGGACGCTGGTGAAAACCGGCTCTTCCACGGGACGGTGAGAAAAGCATTTCACGGATCCACGCTCGGGAGCCTGGTGGGGCTAGGTCTATTCGTGGAGCCAAATCAAGGGTGTTCCTCTCCTGGGTTTTCCACGTCCCATGTTCGTCCACCCACCATGGCAAGAGTCCGTCCGAGTCCTCAGCAAGGCCAAAACAAAGGCTAAGGTCCAGAGTTTCTGTTTCGTATTAAATCTTAGTCTTTTTGCAGCCCCCGTGATCTGCACCCCGGTTGTTGCTAGACCTGCATGGTCACATGTTCTGGGGTGAGAGAGAACACACAGATGTGGTGAGGGGGGGTCACTGAGAGAGAGAGAGAGAGAGAGAGAGAGAGAGAGAGAGAGAGCTTCTTTGTTCCCCTGGGGTTTTAACCAGGAGCTCTTTCTAAATAACCAATCAACTTCCCAAGCTTTTGTGGGGTTCACCCCCTGATCGGTGATCTTTCCCCAGGTTACACTGACAGGCCTCGATGGTCAAGCACCTCTCCCGCACCATTTCCCTTCCACTGAGCATGTGCTCACTTCCCCCTTTGTTGTATCCCTTCCCCCAGCGATCTGCGGGAATGGACCCATGATCCCCGGGGAAGGGGGAAGCTGTAGCTTCCTGGGGAAGCAAACAGGCTGTGTCCCCAGCTGACCTTGGTTCACACTGTCTGATTCCCCTGCTCTCTTCCCACCAATAGTAACACCGGCCTGACCTAGGAGTGTGGGAGCTAAGAACGTTTGCTGAGGGGATGGGCCAGATTTGAAGGAGGGGGGTTTGTGTTGGACGTGGACTTCAGTTTTGCTCCTGTGTCTGATTTCTGTTCTTCCATGCCATTGAGGGAGTCCCTCAGGCTCTGTTCCTCTCTGTCCGCTTTGCACCCCGTCTTCCCACAGGTTCCGATAAGACGATTGTGGAGGGTGAGCGCTCTCTAAAAACGAATGGTTTTCTCTTAAACTGAGTCAGTTCAAAGGATCCGTGCCTGACCATTGATGAGTAGGATTGTATATTAATCTCAGTAATGGCTCAAACCAATAGGCCTTTTTAGGACTTAACTATGGACACCAAGAGGCGTCCGAAAAGAGGGTGCAAAGACGCAGCCCTTCGCAAGACCCAGAGGTCATTCCCCTTTGGCCTAAGACAGAAAAGACCTTCACTGTCACAAGTGGTGGGTGGGGGACTGCAGGTGTCTCTGGTCCCCCAGGAGAGCGTGCAGCACCTCTAGACCCCCTCATTGGAGACACTGGGCAGGCGCTACTGGAACGGGACTTTCTCAGCACTGACAAGACAACAAAGGCCCCTGATGCACAGGGACCCCTTCTGACAACCCCATGAGAGCTGGCGCAGTCAGACAAAGAGAAAGTGACTGGTGACCTCCTGTCTCAGAAACCCAGTCTAGGCGACTGGCTACCCGATGCCTGTGGGTGGGCACCTCCACCTTCACGCAGACGCCGGCCTGGTGCGGACCCTGACCTCACCGGACCAGGGCGCTGGCTTCATCGGCAGATTTGTGGGGCCCCTGCCTGCGTGCTGCCATGTGGTTTCCCTCCTATGACAGATGGCACCCAAGACAGAGACAGAGGAGAACTGTGACCATGCCTGGGAGGTCAGGCCCGATAGAAAACTGGAGTACTCATGACAGATCCTTACCGCGGTCTCCGTACCCGAGGAGGGCACTCACAGACACTTTGTCCTGCTCATCTACACTTTCAAAGGACGAGGACTTTACCCCTCTCGTTTCCGTGGCCCCCGCAGCCTGACGTGGTCTGGACTCCTCCGTGCTGCTGGCGTCTCCGAGGTCCCTGGCACTCAGCTGCGGCGCCCCCCAGGGTGCAGGGGCCAGCCCGCGCTAGGTTCCCAAACTGTAGGGGAGAAAACATCTCCCGTCTCCCTTATAGGTTCCTTCGCTGGTCTGATAATTAAATGGACGTAAGACAGATTAACAGGAGAAAAAAAATCCAAATTTAATTTTGTAACACGGAGGAGCTGTTAACACAGGAGTCTCGCGGGGAGTCAGACAATCAAGGCCGAGTAAGGGGAGGGCTGGGGGTCTGGGACCAGAAAGGGGAGGGAGACAGTTCACGCAAAGAGGCGAGTGGTTGTTCGGTGGACAGGTGTTTGCCCTGCCCGGCGGAGCAGTCTCTGTGACGGAGACCATCACAGTCATCTCTGCTGATAGCTCTCCCTGGTACAGGCGCCCTGGTAGTTGGAGGAGGGGTAGAAAACAGCCTCTTCCTGGGTCTGTGACTGTCTCCAGCTCAAAATAATCCACACGCGCCTGCTAGTGTGGCCCAGTGGTTGAGCATCGACCTATGCGCCAAGAGGTCGCCGGTCAGGGCACATGCCCCCGGTTTGGGCTCGATCCCCATGCAGATCGATGCTGATGTTTCTCTCTCATTGATGTTTCTCTCTCTCCCTCTTCCTCCCTCTCTCTCTCTAAAAATCAATAAAAAACATATTTTTTTAAAAATAGTAATCTTCCTGCCAAAGTGGCGTACTTTGGGGGTCACGTATTTCCCCCCCTCGGATACAAAGGTCAGGTCGGCAGAGGAAGACGGGTCTCCTTGGGCGGGCGCAGCTGTGACTCTGACTGTGGGTGTGACTGTGTTTCGGGGAGTCCACTCTCTCTGGGTCACACAGTTACAATATGGGGACAGGTGGTCTGAGGACACTGCTAGGGTCCTTGACCAGGTTCGGGAGGGGCAGGAGGGCGGAGCCTGTCTCAGCTTACAGGAGGCTGGATTGGACGAACGCTCCGTCTCCTGTGGCAGATGGGATTTCTGGGACCAAGGGGTCCCCACCGCACTCTCGTGAGTGTCTTCGCCGCTGTTTGGAGGGGGCAAGACAAACACAGAGCTGTCTAGTGGGTCAGATTATTCCTTTGCCTCTTCCTTAGGCGGTGGCCCTGAGCACAGCAGTTGGACTCTGGGGCCCTTCTCCTGGCTGTCCCGGGGGTGGAGGGCTCCCAGTGCCCCCAGGCGGAGGTGCCGGTCCTGGAGCTCACCTTGGGCAGAAGCGGAAGAGGACTGTGAGGCGGGCACGTCAGTCCTGTAGGGACGAGACGGACCCCGGCGGGCGACAACAGCCTCCTGACAAGCACGGGAGCGTTTCCCTAATGTTTGGGTCTGTGCAGACTTAGGGAGGAAACTCAAACTGACACAAACCGATTGCACCGTGATCGGCAAACAATGAAGGGCTGGGAGTCTGTAATTTCCCTCGGAACCGGTGTTTGGTTGTCACCGAGGCTGAATGACACAGCCTGGCTGGGTGGGAGCCACAATTAGCTGCTGTCACCCTGGCGTGGTTTTTTTTTTTTTTGTCCTTCCTACAGACAATGGAGTAGTAAGACATCAATAGCCAGTGTTCTGTGCCTGATTGTGAAGTGGCCCTGTTGTTCAAAGGAACAGAGCGGGGTGGGGTGGAGGCTCCTGACCCGGCCCCGGGACGCCCGGGGACTCCCTCCCCCTGCTGGGGCGGAGGAGCACGTGCCAACATGCCTTCAAAGAAGCTGCCCCTATGCCCTGCCGTGCTGGCCTCCTGCGTGCTCAGAACCACTCGCCTTCCCTTCTCTGTGCCTAGCGTTGGGGTGCAGAGTGACACCGGGGTGGTCGCGGGGGTGGGGGACGGGGCGAGCCATGCGCTGTCAGTGTTCAGGGGAGTCTTCCTTGAGGGTTGGGTCGACCCGCACCTGCTGAAACTTTATTCTGGGGGTGTTTTATGCCCTCCGCTGCCAGGGCAGCTCAGATCTCTCTCCCCTGGGGTCCCGGACGGGAATCTGTGATAGCTGCACCTGCAGGGAGGTGGCACACCTCCTCTGCTCCCTGCGGGGGACCTGTGGCTTCTTTTAGGAAAATGCAAGTTTCCTTCTATTTGTGCTTTTCATTTATTTATTCATTTTATTTTTTTATCCTCACCCAAGGACATTTTTGCATTTATCTTCAGATAGAGCGGGAAGGAGAGAGGAAGAAAGAGAGAGAGAGACATCACACATTGAATGGTTGCCACCCACATGACCCCAACCAGGGCGGGGGACAAACTGCAACCGAGGTACGCGCCCTTAGCGGGAACCGAACCCGGGGCTCTCTGGTCCACGGGCCGACGCTCTAACCGCTGAGCCAAACCGGCCAGGGCTCTTCGTGCTTTTAAACAGCACCCGAATGGCCTCCCACTGTCAGCGTTTAGCAAGAGGGCAGCCACTTCCCTACGACTCGGGGATCGTGGGCCGAACAGACAGATTTCCCTGGCCGTTCCCGAGCCCTCCGACAGCTCAGCCCAGACGGGAAAGAATCCGGTACTCAGCCCTCCGGAGAGGGAGTCCAGGCCGCCCCTCGTGTCGCCCCGATCTAATGCAGGCCGTGAATCAGGAGCACTTGGCCAAGGCAAGGAGCCCGTCCATTGGTCTGCTCCTGACACGGTCATCCAGCTCCCCCATGAGCTTATCTGTTTCCTAATGCCGGGTGACGGGTGGGAAGATGCGCGGGAAATCTTTCTCCGAGCGATCGGAGACGGCGGGCTGCTGCCGTAGTCCCCGTCTCTCTGTGCTTTCTCTTTGCTTTCCCCACGTTGTGGGTGGAGCCGGGTCCCCAGCGTCGTGTGTCCCGGTGACGTGGTGATGCCGCCCAAGGGGATGTTTTTTAAGCCGATCGCTGACACGTCATTCATTAGCCACCAGATCTACCAGCAAATGTCGGCTGGTCGTAAACCACGGTCCACCCAGGGCGCTACGGGGAAGACGCGGTTCTGGTACACGCAGGGCATCGCTCGCGTGGGGGGACTTGTCACCGGTCTCCGGCATCTCTCTTGGTCCACGTGTCCTCTGCCGGGGTCCCTCGCTAACGTGCCCGTTTCTCGCCCGCAGACCGCAGAATGGCTCGATGATACTCTACAACAGGAAGAAAGTGAAGTACAGGAAAGACGGGTACTGCTGGAAGAAGAGGAAAGATGGGAAGACGACCAGAGAGGACCACATGAAGCTGAAGGTCCAGGGAGTGGAGGTAAAGAGCAGACAGGGCTGCCCTGTTCCACGCGTGTCGTTGTCGGGTCGCGCTGAGCCCGGGTGGCTTCCGAGGGCCTCGATGCCGCCGGCCGCCTCTGCCGAGCAGGGCTCTGTCTGCCAAGACCCTGTTTGTGTCCTGGTCTCCTCCCTTCTGGCCCAACAGTCTCCGTTCGCGTTGTCCACGAAACTGGATTTCACGAACGCGCCCCCATTTCCCGGGAGCGGTTGGTGTGTGGGTCGGGCCTGGCCGGTTTTCCGCAGAATCCTGCGTCGTTTCGATCACGGGGGCGCCTCCAGGTGCACTGAGAGTTGCAGGTGCTCGGGAAGGGGGAGCTGCATTGAGGGTCCCCCTCGAGGTGGCATCCCAGGGAGCTGGTGGTCCCCCACTGGAGCCTGGCTCCATCCCCTCTGCTGACAGGCCCGTGTTTCCCTCTGGGTGTTTCAACCTCAGGGAGCTCGAAGGTGGTCAAGACAGTCGGATGGGCCCGTAAGGTGTGAGCGCTGCAGAATCGTCACAGGGCTTGAGCACGCTCCTGTCTGGGTCCCGGGGGAAGACGGGGTGCAGTCCTGGTCCTTGCTTTGTTCTGACCGCACAGGTGCTGACCCTGGGGCAGCCACACACACAGCCCTGGCTTCTCTGACCAGGGCGTGAGGCCCCAGGCCCTGCCACAGCGCCGGGGGAGCGGACCGAGCTGGGGTGCGCCTGTGGGCTGCTCGCCAGGGAGCACCCACCTCTGCGTCTCGCGGGGCCTTGTGAAGGCTCTTCCCTGGGAGGGTAGCCGGAGCCAAGACGCTGGCCTGTGACCCGGTGGTATTTCAGAGTGGTCAGAGAGCGGCTCCTGGGGCCCAGCAGTGCCCCAGGGTCGCCCGGCAGGGCCGGCAGCCTGCAGGAGCTCTGCGGCCCCCCCATGCTGACGTGCTTTGCGACGCACGTGTCATGCTGACCTTTTTACATTAATCATGTACTTTTATGGGTGTTAAAAATAGCATCCAGTGGCTTTTACTGTATTGCCCCACAGAAAGAGATAACTTTGTTTTATGTTTCTTGTGTTACTTCTAAACACCTAATAACAATGCTTTATGATGATGAGCACAAAAAAAAGCTTCAATGTGAGGAATGCCAGTCCCCCGCGTTCTCGCGGGTTCGGTGTTTGCGCGGCGCGGTTTAGTGGGCTCCGAAGGACGTTAAGATGCAGATGAGCCCTGGCTGGTGTGGGTCAGTGGTTAGAGCGCTGGCCCACGGACCAACGAGTCACGTGTTTGATTCCGGTCAAGGGCATGTACCTCGGCTGCGGTTTGTCCCTGGCCCTGGTCGGGTCGTGCAGGAGGTGACCGGTCGATGTGGCTCTATCACAGGGATGTTACTCTCTGTCTCTCTCCCTCTCTCCCTCTCTCCCACTCTGTCTGATAATAAGTAGAAAAGTATCCTCAGGTGAGGAATTAAAAAAAAAAAAAGATGCAGAGTCACTGAACATGCTGGTCTGGCCCGACTCTGGGGTGTGCCCGGTGACCACACACACAGATTAGCCTTTGCTACCGGAGCCCGCGGGTACGCGGCTTTGCCCTTGGCTCCCACAACGGCGCAATAGGTGGGGCAGAGGTGGGGTCGCGGGGTCTGAGGAATTCACACGGAAGCCTGGGCGGACAGCCGCTGTGCCCGCAGCTGTCTGGTGTATTTCGTCCTCAGCGACCGTAGCTCGGGGACTCAGGGTGTGCAGCAGAGGGGACACCTTCCTTCCCGCAGCCAGGGGAACAGAGCCCCGGCGTTCCTGTTCTTCCCTCGTGTTAAGTCAGACCGGTCACGGGTGGATCAGAATGGCGCGTGGTTCTCTCTGGGCCGTGCTTGCGTTTGGAGTTACCCTGGCTCCGGCACCTGAGGTCTAACGCGTGAGCACACGGGTGGGGGCCGCCGGGACCCTCAGAGCTGGGAGGAAGGATGCGCAGGACTTTGAGGGGTTTCCATGACTTCCCGGGTGTGAGCGTCAGCCGGCGGGTGGTGGAATGGCAGGTGGCCTTGGCCGGCTACACGCCGGTGCGCTCTCGGGGTCCGGAGAGAGAGGCCCCTCGGGGGCGGACGTGGCGCGGTGGCCTCTCCTGTGGAGCTCAGGGACTTGTCCCGGCGGTCAGTCAGCAACCACGGACGGGGCCCCGCCCTGTGCTGGGCCCTGTGGGGTCTGCAGAGACACGGGAGCCGTGTCCTCTCCCTGTGGACTCAGAGTTAGATCGAGGAGATGGCATGTCTGTCCCTAAAAGTCATAAACAGTGCTGAGAAGTACAGACGTCTGAGCTTTTAGGGTGCTTGTCCCGAGTTCAGAGCGGGCCCAGGTGATCGGAGGGGCCTTCTAGGTGAGACGGGTTATACGCTCAGCTCTTCCAGGTGGGGGGACTGTGTGTGACTCACCTGGTGTTCATAGCTGACCTTTCTCACTTCCACTGAGGTCTGAGCGGTGCCTTTGTTGGTTGACGCGGAGATCCCCGTGTCCCTGGTAACCGCTCTGTGGTATTCTACCGAATTCGCACTTGAGCCCCTGCCGGGCTGGGCCCTCAGAGGCGCCCAGTCTTGCATCACCACGAGGCTTCAGTAGACGTTCTCACCGTGTCTCTCCGTGTGCATGTGCGTCCCGGGCCTGGAGTTGCTGGGCGGAGGTCCGAGGAGTTCAGCCTTCCTAGACACTGCCAGATGGCTCCCAGGTGGCCGTGCTAGTGGCCTGGCCCAGCACTTGCGCTACCGTCTGCCCCTCACCCCGTCACGCACTGACGGATGAGAGGGCACCCGGTTCAGCTGGGATTTGGATTTTTCTTCATTACTTCTGGGGATGGGCACATGCTCAGGGGGACGGAAGTCCTTGCTGTGGATTGTCTGCTGTGGCATGCCTTCCAAACAGCCCCAGAGAAAGCCGTCTCCGGCCGGGGCGGCTCCGCGTCTCACAGGTGTTTCTCCTGCCTGCGCTCCGCTCCAGACGGGTGGCCGGGCGGCCCAGTGGTTGCGCAGGGGACAGTGGGCAGGTGGTCCTTCCCACCCGGGACATTGCAGTGTGCATACGCCTGAATTTTGTATCTCACAGGAGGAGGGGGCTTCCCGGTTTGGACCCTGTTTTCTCCTGTGGGTTCAGTCAGGCGGTTCCCATGGAGTCAGCACTCAGGTGACACCAGGCACCAACCAGCAACCCCAGGGCGGGGAGGCGGGCGGCTCTGCACAGGCTGTGACTTCCACCGCCTGAGCTGGTTTTCCCAGGTCAAGGGCGCGATGAAGATATTCGATGTACCACTTAACGTACCGCTTGCTATAAGCCTTCCCTCAGGCCAGGAAACCCCGGCCCTGTCCTTGAACTGCTCGGCGGTCCAGCTTCCTTTGTTCTCGGAAGCTGGGGCCCCGGTACTTGTGCTGCTCAAAGGCGCATTGATTTCCTCGGGCAGCGCAGGACGGGCCGCTGCGTGTGCAGCTGACAAGCTGTTAGGGCCACGATTAGCTGTCTTGTCTGTAAGCCAAGGGGAAGCCAGCTCGATGAGGTTTCCAGGGACGACAGAGGCTGGCGGGGGGGACAGTGGGTGCGGTGTCAGCGTCTGGTGAGAGGGAATGTCAGCAGGCCGGAGCCGGTCCTGCCCCCCACGCGGATGTGTGCCTGCTTATCGGGGGACAGGTGGGGGCTCCCTGAGAGCAGAGTGGCACATCTGAAGTGCCCCCGGTCTCCTAGGCTGCCACTCCATGGGTCTGATGAGCAGGTGAAGCCAGCGGAGGTGATGGCCTTCTTCGGGTCAAGCTGGACGAGTGTGCAGGCCCCCCCCGCCCCCGTCCCTGAGCGTGCAGATCAGAGCCCAGGCCAGCTCCGGGTCCCCCTTCCCACCTGCGGAGCCATGCGCTTGGTGTAGCGACAGCCGCAGGCTCGCGGTTCTCCTGAGCACCCTCCCAGGCGCGTCTTCTCCTTCAACACTTATCAAAACGCCATGCAAAGCACTTGTTATACCCGTTTCACAGACGGAGAGCTTGGGCCCCGGAGAGGGTTTCTCTGCCCCACATCCCAGCTCGAGCGAGCGCGGAGCCCAGACTGAGCCCGAGTGCCCGGTGCTAGCGCGTGGGCGCTTGCGGGTTCCCGATGCTCCTGGGTACGCAGGGGGCTTTGCCCTTGTTTCAGTCAGTCAGTCACCAGCCAGCTGCCCCCCGGGCTGACAGGTGCTGCGGATGCGGCGATGTCACGAACTCTCTGGTCTGCCGGGCGGGGGAAGGGGCCAACAAGCAAGCATGCGGCTGTAACGCAGGGCGGCAAGGGCTGGGTGGGGAATTACGGGGCCCCGGGCGGAGCTCATAGAGGGGTACCCAGGCCGGCCTCGTCTTGGGAAGAGACAGAAGCGTAGGGAACGAGGGGGCGTTTGGAGTGAGGCAGTAGCGGGGAGTGGATGGGAAACCGCCATGGGCAGTAACAGAGGCCGCTGCCCAATCGCCAAGGTGATTTAAAGCAGCAGGTGCAGGAAGTGCGCGGTGTTGGTCCCTCTCCAGCCCCGCCGGACCAGATGTCCGCCTCCCGGGGACAGGGCTTCCTCTGCTCTGGTCGTCCGGCGAGCTTTGCCGATGCCCTGCCCTTGGAGCCGATAGGCGGTCCCCGCAGAGGCTGTTGGCTCAGCTGTGGTTGACAGACACCCTGCCCCATTGAGCCGGTTCTGCGGTGGACAGGAAGCCCCCGGCCCGCCACCTGCCCGGCAGAAGTGCGGTCGGCATCTCCAACTGGACTGCTCAGTGGGGAACACAGTGTTTTGTTAATTCTCACCCAAGGACATTTTTCCCACTGATTTTTACAGAAAGCGGAAGTGGAGGGAAAAAGGGAGGGGGAGAGAGAGAGAGAAACATCCATGTGACAGAGACACATCGATTGGTTGCCTCCTGCATGCGCCCCAACGGGAGCCGGGATTGAACTGAACCTGCAGCCAGGTGCGTGCCTTTGACTGGGCATCAAACCCGCGACCCTCTGGCGTGCGGCCGACGCTCCAGCCTCGCGGCCACAC